AGGTGTGTGAAAGTGTAGGGGTGGAATCCCACCTGTCAGTCAGGTCACAACTGGTGGTGCTTCCTTGGGCCTGTGACCTTCTCGTAAGGAGGATGCTGTGAACCTCCTTCTCACTCTACCACAATGCCTCCCTGCCTGCTGGGATTCTGCTGGCCACTCTGAGAGCTGCCGATGCCCTGCCGTGTTTCCACTGACCTTGGATCCGCAGGACTCTGTACCCACTGACGTGAGATCTTCCAGCATTCTGCATCATTGCATGAGGGTGTGTGAGTCTCTTGAGGGACAACTGGACTAGTATTCAAGTTATAGACTTGAGTCAGACTGGGCAGGGCCATCTTCTTGATATGTAATTACTTCTTGATATAAAGCTCTGTCATCTATGTATGACTCTGACTGGGTTTGTTTCTTTAGCACTAGCCTAAGTGGGCTCTGCTGTAGTACACAAGACTTAGGACCACTCAGCCCCCAGAAGGCACAGGAGAGTTTCTGGAGGAAAGGATGCTGGAAAGAGGCTGAAAATGGACTAGGGCTGGTCATCACAGTCAGGGGAAGGCACTGCAGCAACAGGGAGGAGCTTGTGCAAAGGCTCAGGGGAGGGAAGCAGGCTGGTGGCGTTTCAAAAGAGATCCCACACCAGTCTAGGAGGGGTTGAGCCTGTTTAAGGACATGAACCATGGTCGCCTGGAAAGAAGTGTCCACCAGCCAGGGGACAAGGAGGTTTCCTTGATGACGGTCTGCCATCCCTTGTGGTAGCCCCAGCCCAGCAGCCCAGGCCATGTCTCAGAGCTCCTCCTGGGCTGGCCTATCCTTCTTCTGCTCCCACTGTGGGCTCTTGGTGGGGAGCATCTCTGCCCAGAGCTGCATCCAGGCTCCCCTTAGCTTCTGGCCAGTCCGTGGCTCTGGGCTGATCTGCAGATATTGCTCTGACTGGGTGAAGAGGGGCCACGAAGGCAGCCCCACGCCATTGGGGTCCCTGGAAGGAAGGAAGAAGTAGGTGTCCTGTAAGGTCTTCTGGGGCGGACCCTGAAAGGCCCAGGCCTGAGGCCAGTTCTGTCACCCAGACTCACCCTGTGCGGGCAAACTGTGTCCACTGGGCCATCATGGTGAGGCTCAGCTGCTTCTCCTCCTCTGTGGCCTCTGGGAAGGCTGGTGGGAAGGATGGTCCCGTATCAGGGCCAGGCAGCACCTAGAGGGCACCCAGGTGTCCCCAAGATCTCTGCTCCTACAAGTCCCACCCCTGTCCTGGAGGTCTGCCTGCTTAAGGTTGCAGGTCTGTGCTCACCCAGGAAGGAACTCTCGTCCA